TAAATACGTAACGGCGGTACATGTATTCCGTTACTCCCCAACACTGGCTATGAGGCTAATGAGGACATCTGAAGGAGCTGAACAAGCATGCCAGTGATCAGCAAGAAACCTGGCAATGCTTGCTGTTGGGCAAGTCAAGACTTTAAATGACAGGTGAGTACAAACACACACACCCACACGCACACAATGTTTAGCACAACAATGTTTAGCACAACAATGTTTTAGCACAGTGTTTTAGCACAACTATGTTTATATTTTACATTATTATCATTATTGTAGGGTCTTTACCTTATAATATAAAGCATTGTGAGGCAACTGCTGTTGTGATTTGGTACCATATAAATGAAATGGAAGTGAAAAATTGGATGTGTTTTCAGTTATCATATAGAAGCAATTTGTGTGCTTCATCATGTAAAGGTCTCTGTCCTCAGTAATATTCCCAATCTTTATAAAGTAACCAATTGCACTATGGGGACTTTCATGCAGCCGATGTCTATTATAGTGATGATTTAGTTCTTAGAGTGCCGACTGGGGTTTGATCAGAGACTAATCAGTTATAGGAAATGAGAATTATGGTGACCTTTATGTACTCAGTGAAGGATGTAGATATGCAATGTTTAAAAAAATCATTAAAAAAACTCAAAAAACTTCTCATCTACCTACTTCAGGTCCTCTGACAAAACTTCAAGACAATTAAATCATCTATTTCCAAAAGGCATATGGAGACAAATCTGCTATTTCTGCCAGACTAGCTCATCCCCCGGACAATACAGTTAATTATACTGATTTCAAAGTCACAGTCAGAAGGAAAATGTCTGGCTGGGAGGGAAGAATGCATGTTTCATGTCTCTCTTTGTGGCTGCCAGTTCTCCATGGAAAGGAAGAGGGTGGAGAATATGCATGACAGGTCCTAAAATAGCATCAGTGGGATCAGCTATCTTCTCAAGATCAGGGAATGGGGTCTGCATGTGACTCTTTGAGCTGGACAAAGTCTGCGATAAAGAGACAGATAAAATAAGAAATGGGTTGATGGGGTGTGAATAGAAGTGTAAGGGAGAGGTGATAAACAGTGTTGAGAGAGGGAAAGGTTTTGAATTAGGATGAAAGGAGAGAAAGGGAGCAGGATGAGGTCGAGGCAATGAGCGGAAAGAGTGGGAGAGGTTAGAGGATGGAAAAAATGAGTAGTCTGGATGTCTGCATAGAGGGAAGGAATAAAGACAGAAAGGAGAAGAGGAAATAAGGAGACAAAATAACTAAATACTAGCTGTTACTGATAGGAAAAGGCACTTTACAGGTAGAGAAGGCATGCTAACACATGAAGCAGGTGTAGAGACAGGTGGAAGAGAAACGTAATGGGGAAGAGAACAGCAGCAATGAGCAAGAGGTGCATAAGAGAAAATAGAGATTAGGGGAGAAAGCAGGAATAAGCACACAAAGCCTGTGTTGGCTGTCAGCATCCATCTTTAAGATAAGAGCTGCAGCTACATGATCTGTTTTCCAGCATTACAGATGAAAGCGAGCGCTCCTGCGCGGCAATCAGATCAGCCGTGTGTATCGCCATTGTTGCCACTAGCCGGGATGATTTTCTCAGCAACACAGCTGAATGATGCACACTGCCAAGCATTGTGGAGCAAACAATGGTACAAGTCTTTGTGCACAAAAGGCTGATCCAGCTTCAGCTGTGTCATGGTTCTGCAATCACACTGACAAGATTAGTAAATAGACATATAATGCTATATCTCTGTTAAC